ATGTGTAAAATGCCATTATGTTTGCCTTTTGTCATCATCAGCAGGAAGAGACAGAGATCAGAGTCTCCAGAACCCAGTGGTGTATCTGTGAAGAGTGACGGATCTATGGACAAACCTCTTGGATTCAGTGGTGCAGTGACCTCTGACCATCTGTTAGTATAAGCATTTACTTGCTAATTAACTGTAGTGCATCGTAGATGAATAATATAAAAGGTAAGAAATAACATCACTCAGTGAGTGATGATTCCTATCTCGTGACACAATTACAGAGAGACACAGAATCATTTTCCCAAATCTTCACTTTCACAATCACAGGACAGGACCATCTCAAGGCATAGGCAAACATCACTTTCCAGACCCTATCACTGGATTGCTCTGTTTTATTCTTTATTTGTACACCATCTTAAGAAAAGCATCTGTTAAATCTGCAGTGCATTCAAGCTATACAGTATGTATGTGTAAAATGCCGTTATGTTTGCCTTTTGTCATCATCAGCAGGAAGAGACAGAGATCAGAGTCTCCAGAACCCAGTGGTGTATCTGTGAAGAGTGAAAGTTCTATGACAAAACCTCTTGGATTCAGTGGTGCAGTGACCTCTGATCCTCTGTTAGTATAAACATTTTCTTGCTAATTAACTGTAGTGCATCGTAGATTAATAATATAAAAGGTAAGAAATAACATCACTCAGTGAGTGATGATTCCTATCTCGTGACACAATTACAGAGAGACACAGAATAATTTTCCCAAATCTTCACTTTCACAATCACAGGACGGGACCATCTCAATGCATAGGCAAAAATCACTTTCCAGACCCTATCACTGGATTGCTCTGTTGTATTCTTTATTTGTAAATTATCTTTAAAAAAAGCATCTGTTAAATGAATAATTTTAAATGTAAATCTGCAGTGCATTCAAGCTATACAGTATGTACAGTATGTTTAAAATGCCGTTATGTTTGCCTTTTGTCATCTTCAGCAGGAAGAGACAGAGATCAGAGTCTCCAGAACCCAGTGGTGTATCTGTGAAGAGTGAAAGTTCTATGGACAAACCTCTTGGATTCAGTGGTGCAGTGACCTCTGACCATCTGTTAGTATAAGCATTTACTTGCTAATTAACTGTAGTGCATTGTAGATGAATAATCTAAAAAGTAAGAAATAACACTAAATGTATTACAAAATATGCAATATATGCAATGTATACGAGTGCAGCATGAAGAGCTAAAATCATACATTGTTTCCAAATGGTTTCTGGTGGTCTCCAACATTCATTGTCTTTAAATTCTTTTGTCTTTCATTTTTTTCAGCAAGGGGGAGATATATGAGCTGACCAGGTCTGTGCCATTCTCTACATCCCAGTATCAGAATCACATCAGGCAGGACAAAACTAAAGCAGTCCTGCAGACACATCCACTGAAGACTGGAGACCTGCAGACAATCAAAGACCAGCACAAAACCAGCATGAATACTAAGTACGAGAGACTATTTGAGGGAAACAAACTCCAAGAGAATCAAACCCTCCTGAACAGGATCTACACACAGCTCTACATCATAGAGGGAGAGAGTGAAGGAGTGACTGAAGAACATGAGGTTTTACAGATGGAGAAAACAGCCAGAACACAACACTCACAAGACACTCCAATTTACTGCAATGACATCTTTAAAACCTCAGCTGAAGCAGGATCTGAGGAGAAAGACCAGATCAAGACTGTTCTTACTAAAGGCATCGCTGGAATCGGAAAAACCGTCTCCGTGCAGAAGTTCATTCTGGACTGGGCCGAGGGAAAAGCCAATCAGGATGTAGATTTCATGTTTGTGCTTCCATTTCGAGAGCTGAACTTGATCCGAGATCATCAGTACAGTCTTCACAGACTTCTGCTGGACTTTCATCCTGAACTTCAAGATCTGGACTCACAGATTTATGAGGAGTGTAAAGTTGTGTTCATCTTTGATGGTCTGGATGAAAGCAGAATCACACTGATGTTTTCAGACGATCAGAAAGTTTGTGATGTAACTGAGACTTCATCAGTGGCTGTGTTGATGTCAAATCTCATGAAAGGAGAGCTGCTTCCTTCTGCTCTCATCTGGATCACCTCCAGACCAGCAGCAGCCAATCAGATCCCCTCCAAATACATCAACCGTCTGACAGAAATTCAGGGATTCAATGAGCCTCAGAAGGAGGAATATTTCAGGAAGAGAA